AGGAGACCCGGAGATCAAAAAAAATGTGTCGATTAGCACCTTCACATTAAATAAAGGAACGGATGTACTGCAGCAGTTGATAGAACACTACTCCTCATGGATACACCCTCCAATTATTTGGAGGGCGTTAATCCACATCACTGAGGAGGAACTAGTCAACGCAACCTCTCCAAAACCCCGTAAATCAGACAGTGTACACTAACCATATAATGATACTGATTTTTTCCATTATGAAGTAAAGTTTGCCCTTGGTAGGACAAATAAAATAATGACTTAGTTAAGGTTTAGCTGTTAATATATAACCCAAAACGATCCCTACACCCCCACGGTCTGCCAGCCAGACCGTGGGGGTGTAGGGAAGGAGGACCCAGGCGCGGTGCTCTGTGTGTAAACAGTGCGTTTATTTACAGTGTGTGGAACTAAACAACAATAAATCCCCGTGCTTTCCCCAGACTCCCGTGTCGTATCTTCTCCCAGTGTTTGTGCTCTCCGCTCCCGTGTCTCAGCACTCCTCCTGCTGGCTGCTGTCTGGCACTCCACACTTCTCCTGGGGACACAATAGAAGCAGCCATCAGGACACATACAACCATGGCCATACACACACTAACTAAGCTCAACTGGGTGACTAACGTGGAGTCTCACACAATGATCCCGTGTCAGAGAGAGCTCCACCACACTCTCAAGCAGCTCCTCCGACAAGCTCTGATCAGCAGCAGGTGTGTGGTTTCAGGTGTGGCCAGTCCCCTAGCAGGGCCACACCCACCAGGCCTGAAGGCGAGTGCTCAGACACACAGCCACCCACACACACATATGTACAATCATAGAAAAGGGGGAGCAACACCAAAAATACATAAGTAACATAAGTCTATAACTGCTCAGAGATCCTGGGTCGCTCAGACCCAGGACCCTGACAATACCCTTAAAAAACGTCCAGTTATGTTAACATAAGTTCCATATTAATTTGAATTCGAAATTTTATCTGTCTCTTATCAATGACTCCATTACTAGTCAGTTATGTCGAAGCAGAAGCAGTCTTATGGAGGGTCCTAACGGTTAACCTATTGTTTAACTGGTGATGGGCATCCTCTGCTGTTTCCTTTGGCAGATTCTTGTAGAATTTTTCGGCTTCTTCGGGTGTTGAGAAGAGGTGGATCTTTCCATCGGACAGGATCCTGAGTCTGCAGGGGTTGTGCTGGAATCCACAGAAGGCATTGATTTCAATAAACAGCTTGACAACCGGGTGAAATCCCCGTCGGATCCAAACCGTCTCCGCAGACAGATCCTGCGCAAATGTGATCTTGGCCCCATCATGTGTAATTTGTTGTTTTCTTGCTTCCTGATAGACCAGTTCCTTCTCTTGGAAGTTTAAGAAGC